TGTTAAAAATAAAAGTCCCATATATTTTATTATTTTGTAATCTAATGCCTTGAGATTGAGTCTGTCTCTTTAAAGCTCCACTTTCAGGTCCTCTATTAACCCTTTAACAGCGTTTTTTACCAGCATTGCACTGAGAAGCTCCTAATGAGTTTAGCTCAGTTCCACCAGGTTTTTGCTAACTGCTGCTGGCTAGTCTGAAGGAAGGAAGCTGCAGCTCCAAGAGGAACTGCACCTTGAAGGTGGGGCTATGTCCAGCTACCTTTCCAGTGCGTTGTAGGCCCCGGTAGCAGAGCCGGGGTTGATGTAAAACTTGTTTTCGTTCTCGAAAGCCTCGAACTTGTGTGTGTGTCCTGAGATGAGGATGTCGACATCCAGCTGTCTCTGGAGCAGCGCCAGGCTGGCCATGTCGCCCCAAGGGATGACCTGGTGGCCGTGGATGAGGCCGATCTTGAACTGGCCCACTGTCACCACCTTCTGCTCGGGGTAGTTCAGGTTCTGAGAGGAGGGCAGAAGGAGTTTTGGTTTTAGTGAATGCATTAGCTGGAGTGATCTGCTTTAACCAGAGAGAAAACCCTGAATCTAGAGTGAAGAGCTCCTGGTATTTAGTGGATTGGTACACTTCCTGGCAAAAGAATCCCTACCCTTTTTTAGCATTTTGGCTCTTTAACAAAAACTCTCACTATGTTTTATTGTAATGTTGTAAGACAGACTAACACTAAGTGGCATATAATGTCGAGGGGAAAGACTTTTTTTTTTTAATTAATAAAAACATTAGTCTGGTACACCTAAATTAGGATCACCTTATTAGAAAATAGTATTTATTTGTGTGCAATTCAATTTCAGAATAAATTCTGTCTTGCTGTTAAAGCATCAGAGGTTTCAGAGAGAACGTTACATAAAAAAGAAGAGTTTAAATTACCCTGAACTCAATATCCTCAGTGAAACATGGTGATGGCAGTATAATGCTGTGGGGATTCTCTTGTAGTGCAGGGACAGAGAAGTTTGTCAGATTCAAACTATGACAGACGGATTTTGAACCAAGTGCAGTGATCGCTTAGAATTTCCCAGATCCAAATGAAATTGATAACTTCTGGTTTGTCTGAAAAGCTAATGTTTATAGAACCTCTGAGTCCAGTTCGAATAGGATCAAATTTTATGAAAATATTAATAACAATAAAAAGCCAAGCATTTCCTTTTATGGCTTATCAGAAAATCACAATAAGTAGGAATATGTATATATCTTTCGAAGGATGGACTTTAGCCAGGCACAGGGAACCTCTTGACATATTCAGTGGTGAGGACACTTCTACTAATATGCTAATAGCAGAACTAATTTTCCATTTAGCACTTTAGCGTTTCTTTGCTAACTTTGAAAACATTTAGCGCACCACCCTTTCACAAATTACTGTTAGCTTCCACTTCCAATGTTGGTGTAGCACTTTAGTGATAGTAGAACTAATATTGATAAGTGATTGAGGTTAGTGCAACTAATGTTTTAGCTAGCGGTGACCACAGCTGGAAATATTGTTCCTCTTTCTCAACATGCTATTTATTTTTCAGCTTAAAATACTTTTCCACTGAATGGTGTAATGATTACGGTGGATCTTAATAAGGAGTATAGACCTCGTCAAAGTCTCCCCGCACAATGTGGACATCGCCAGCGAGAGTTTTCAGGTAGTCGTAGCTCTCCTTGGTGCAAAGGTTGCCTGTGCAGAGAATGTGCTGGATCTTCCCCGGGACCAGCAGCTTCTTGAACTTGGCTGGCAACGTGTTGCACCGGTGGGGAATGTGCAGGTCACCTAACACCAAAACCAACTAATGTCGCACAAACACACACAAAAACCAGTTAGTCACCCATGAATGAACGAAGGTGTCCGAGGACCGCAAAAGAACATAGTCCAAGGACAGAGCCCTGCAGGGTGCCATAAGTCAAGCTGTAGCAGAAAACAATGGACATAAACGGCACAATAACCCTCCTGTATACCCTCATTAGTTGTCATTAACATTTTTTTTACAATAGAATAATGCAACCATTTTTTTCTTGTACTGAAACACCCAGTAACCTATTAGAGCTGATTAACACCTCACTCAACCCAATCAAATCAGCTATATTTGTAAGTACAATTCTGAACATACAATGTGTCTGAATTCAAACTGGCTTCTGAATGTCACTTCATGAAGTTTTTAAAAAGACAAAAGTTAAAAAAGACAAAAAAGTTAACTGATTACGCACAGCTGGACTTCAGACACTCAGCGACAGACTAGAGAGATGTCTACTGTTACCAAACACAGGAAGTGACACACAAGACATGAGCTACTGCATTACAAAGGGATAGTTCAAGATTTTCTTCTACGTGAGGTTTGGTTAAAAGGTTTAAAAATGTAAATCTTGCCTGCACCAGATAGCTCTTGAGATTTTCATTGAGCATAAATCCATATTTATTTGTTTATATTTATAGGTTTGATCAAAGAGGATATCGACCAATAATTTTTCAATGTCAAAAAAGTACTAAGAACAGAGATGATGCTTCTCGGTGCATAACTACCCAATATGAACATGACAGTCTGAAGCCTCATGAAATATCATGTGCAGAAAAAAATTACAAGTCGTTTTGTTGATGGTGGGACTGCACTTTGACCCTGGCTCCTCTAGCCGCTGCCTTCCAGAACCAATTATCTGGTGAAGACCTCAAGAGAGTTACCTATTACAGGTAAGATTTTAACTGGGCGACACATGAACAATCCTAAAATAGACCTGAATACTAACAAAATCCCTACATCCTACAGTATACAGCTGTATAACTGCTGCAGTGGGTGCAAATTTATCCTCTTAGTTTAGAGCTCAGGTGAGTAAAAAAAAAAAGTGTACTTATTTATGTTGAAAATCTGTTTATTTGGTAAACAGAAAATAAAATCTTGTGTCACAGGGATGAGTCGTACCCTCTAACAGAAAGCTAAAAGGAAAACTTTGGGATGCACCAACAAACTCAATATTCTAGTATCACTATTTTCTAGAGAACAAAACACACACAGTTCTATAGAGGATTTCTCGATAGAACTTAAGTCCAAATTACTCAAATTTGAGTGAAGGTTAACTAAACCTGAGTCCTTGTCCAGCAGAGTGCCTAGAAACAGACCTGAGTCATCTATACTTATATGGCCTTTCAAACACCTTTACCAGGAGTGGCAACTAATTCGTCCACATCTATATATTTGGGATAACAACACAAACCAAGCGTTTGTCAGCATGAGTTTAATTCACAGCAGCTCTTGAAATAACAATGTCTCGTTCTGCTAAAAAGGTAAACAAAAACAAAACGAAACAAAAAAAAAACGGCAGACTTGCGTAAATTTGCAATCCCATTTTCTTGTTAGTGCCAGGCAGAAGGGTGAGCAGAAAGACAAGGATGCAGCATAAAGAGAGCACACTTACCCGGTGACCAGCCTGGTTGGTTGGAGACAGACAGATATAGAGGAGGAGGAGGAGGAGGAAGAGGTGCATGTGTACATGACACAGGATGTGTTCAGAGGTTGGGGTAAGAAAAAAAATACAAATACAAACAGAAAGAATTTGGGACAAATTAAAAAGTGAATGGATTAAGTTGATTAATTAATGAATCATTCAAAAACAAGTAAAGAAAATTACAACAAAAAAAATGGCAAAGTGGTCAAGACATTTGTTAATGGTTAGTGATCATGCTAAGCTGAGAACAATAACACAAGAACCTGAGTGTCAGCCAGTGCAAAATCAGGTGCCAAAGCAAATCTGACCTCTTTACTGTAATTTAGGACAAATAATAATACAGAGACATGTCAACTGATATCCTAAACCCAGAGCCGGCCCAATCCATAAGAGATTTCAGCTGCTAATTAGGGAACTGAAGCCCAAAATGGACAATGTAAAGGTCCAATTTGTAGTTACATTTTACAACTTTTACAAATTGCTTTGAAGATGTATTAATAGACTTTTAATTCTTTTACATGCATAATTGTTATGTGACACATAAATCCTGCAAGAGGTGGTAGTTTTGAATACATCAGCAAATTAAGAAATTACATAATTATCTCTAAGCTTTATCTGAATGTTGTTAAACTCAAAAGACCATTAAAGTGCATGCTGCCGTTTGATGTATTTAGAAAAAGTTGAAGTTTCTTCTTTTAAAATCAAGTCATAAACAAAAACATGTACGTATTTTTATTGATGTACATATTTTCATTGATTCCTACTTACTATGTCATGCGTCACATATTATTATTTATTAATTTTAAAAAAGTCAACGTAATCTGAGCATGCTCTGTAAAATCCACAACACTGAACGCACAATAAGCAGAGCCACAAATCAGGTTTTACTTCCATACAAAACTTGGGCCAGCTTTATATATAGACTGACAACTATATCAACCTGAAAAATGATATTGGGAAAATGAATGAATGAATGAATGAATGAATGAATGGGATGAATAAATAACAACATAATGACAGCAGCTTCCCTAGGAAATATATCCACTTTGCCAGGCTTAAAAATAACTAATAAGCAAAGTGTAGCATGAGATAATATCCAGGAAGCATATTTCATCAGAGCAGGTCAAGAAAATGTTTTACAAGATGAAGCTTTCCTTAGCTGGTTAGCCACCGTGGTGCTAATTTGATCGGTAAGTATACATTTTATTTATTTATTAAAAAAACGTGCTGTCACAACAAAATACTCCAAGAACGAGAATGGCAAACTAAGAAAGAACCGTGCAAAAGAAACTTGTAACAACACAGGTGGGTGAAAATGTCAAGAGTGGCTTTTCTGGGATACTAAAAACTCAAGGCTGTCATGTGATCGTCGATGCATCTTTTGCTCCAGCTAAATAGAAGTCACTCAACAACTAAGCGCTACTACGAGGCCGGGACGCGGCGTTGCTTTCTTTACGTCGATAGCTACTTTGCTTCGAAACCAAGCGTAGTTAAGGCTCGCTGCAGGCAGGAAATGGTTCTCCTTTCGACATTTCAGACTCACCATCTTGTCTGTTGCTGTTTGCTGCTCGTCCAGTTGAGGAAGCGCCTTCGAACGTAACGGAAGCTAATAGGGTAGACGAAACAGGAGCGTCCGGGAAGGAGATGTGTCGGCCATATTGTGGGTGGCATTTCTACGACAGCGCATTGGATCCATTAAACTTTCTGCGACATTTTTAAATTAAATACAGAAATTTTCTATATAAAAAACGTGGAAATGTCAAAACTTTTCTGGAAAAAAATCAGAAATGTACTATTAAAAAACTTGGACATTTTAGAGTAAAAAAAAAAAATCGAAAATTTTCTACTTCAACCTTTATTTCTAGAAACGTCCTTAGATTAATTTGAGTTTTTTTCAACAAAAAAAAAACTTCTTAAACTCAGAAAATTCCAGTTTTTGTCCATAAAATTTCTGCGATCAGTAATCAAAATTTGAGGGTTTTTTCTTGCAAATGTTTGACTTCTCAAACTCAGAAATGTTCACTTTTTCTAGAAACTTTCTGAGATACATCTCAAAAAAACGTTCTGAGGTCTTGGCAGAAATGCTGATGATAACACCGTCTTATTTCGTTCAAATAAAAAAGGGTTTTTAGGACACTATGTGAAGTGTTTAGTTCAAGGAACCCTGAGACATATGAAGTCCCAAATGCTGTTAATCCAATGATACTCTAAATCTTAACAATCGTAATAGATTGTTAAGATTACGACAATCTTTACAAGATGAAGCTTTCCTTAGCTGGTTAGCCACCGTGGTGCTAATTTATACCTTTTATTTATTTTTTAAAAAAACGTGCTGTCGCAACAAAATACTCCAAGAACGAGAATGGCAAACTAAGAAAGAACCGTGCAAAAGAAACGGTTCTTTTGTTTAACTCATAAACTTTTAATGAGTTACTGAGACTCTAGAAGACATATTTCTAATATGCAAATATAAATATCTGATTAAATTATCACCGTTACTGGTTGGAAATAGTGTTTGTACGAACCTGCCACTCATAAAATGACAGTTATGCTGACGTAGCGCCTGCAAAAGTCACAGATATAACCACGTAGAAGTCGCCTTGATCTCAGCCGCCATCTTTGTACGGGGTCCCTCCATGTAGAACCTCAGACAACTGTTAACAAAAACTCTCTATAAGAACAATCACACGTTTTCAAACGATTTTAAGTGGATTAAAAAAAATTATTTTACACACAATGCTAAAAAATGCAGAACAGTAAAATACAAAAGAGTTAATCTAAAAATAATAATGCAGCCAGTTTTTCCAATTTGAAATGAATTATGTAAGTATTGTCTTACATAAATAAAAAAAGTTTTTCTAAGTAATGCAGTCCTCTATATTCTCAAATGTGTGAAAGTATGCATGATAGTTAGTATATTATTTTTATATATATTGCTCCTGTAATTCCTGTATTCTTTGTTTCCTTCACATAGAAACACTCAGTGTGTACCAGTAGATGATTGTTCATCTTAAACCTGGTTGTGGTTTTGTTGGCACATGGTCAGACAGATGCAAAAAGAGCAGATAAGCTAAACTGTACCCGCACTTCAATATAGATGGAAATTTGTTGTTACTGATAGGTGCATTTCAATAATACGAGACAAAAAATGGAGATGTGAAGCCTGACATTCCTTTAAAATGAGAAACACATATTACACTGATTCACAATCATCAAATTTTTTATTTATTTATTTATTTTAAGATTATGGCTTACAGCTGGTAAAAACACAAAATCGGTTTTCTTAGTGTATCTGACTATTACCTTGACCAACAAAAACATAATAACAGAAAAATGTCACACTATGACCATTGCATGGCATGTGCGACCATTGTGAAAACTTGACAAAAGCATCATTGACATCCTCCAAAGGAAAGCAGGCCACAAACTGTCATTGAAAGAGAAGCTGGCTGCTCTCAGGGTCTTAAAGGCATGTTCTTGTCGCCTTGTAGCAACTCATTTATGGAAGTAAAATCTTTATAATATCGCAATATTTCTGGTTTGAATGTGTGTGGTTGTTTTAACAAAACCATTTATCATAAGCACATCAGATTGAATACCCTAACATTACTCCCTCATGTTATTTCATGAGAGAGTAATTACTGTCTGTGACTATTTGACGGATAGAAAGGGACAATCTTGTATTGAACGTTTGAGATTACTTTCATAAGTATTTACCACTTTCTAACCTGCCATGTCTCTTGACATTTAACAATTATGTTTTAGAAATGACTGAAGCAATCCATTTCACCAGCAAAATGTTCCGAGTTTATTTGCTTTTTATTTGATTTTGTGCTAATACCTATAAGTAACACATTCAGCAACGAGTTTATGGAGCTGTCACCGTTTTCGCTCCGTACTGGTTCTGCATCTTTCCTATGTCATCCTTTTCACACTGGTTAGGATCGCAGGGAGGAGCGCTCCCTCAACACAAGATGGCGACGGCACTGACGTATGCTTTGGGTTTCAGGCGACATCTACTTCTACATGTCCATAATCGAAGAAAAAAAAAAAAACGTCATCAAGCTAGACACTGCGTCGTCTTATCCTTTCAAAATAAAACCCATGCAAATAAAAATTGTGCAGTTCAGATTGCTAAAAGCCTCAAGTAACAAATTTATTTATTATATTATCAACGTAGAACATCACTCTCGTTGTTTAGTAATGTTCAAACTGTCAATCTCTTTGGTGCTATCAATAAAGTACTAAATTCACCCGAGTACATATTTGAGCAGACTTTTAATGTTAGACAGCAGAGAGACCGGATGTTGCTAAATTTATTCAACTTTAACGCTTGTCAGAAAAAAAGTCGACACGAAAAGCTGCATTTCGCAGAACATTCGAGAGGTAGGTGATAAATAAGTGTATCGCGGCCCTTTCTACTCGTCGTTTTTATTTTTCTACGGTGGACGTAACACATTAGAAAAACTGAAGTTAGCTACACGGTGTTGTGAACGTTGCGTAATTATAATATTTGAATGGCGTCGACTGCGTTTGGCTAACCATGTTAGCTTTAGCTGCGTGGCGTCAGTTGGCCTTGCGTTTGGGCACGAGGCTTTTTTTCTGTAAACGTCAGCACTGTCAGTGGACATAATTAACGGTAAAACTGTAGTTTTGTTAGCATGTTATTATACACATAATATATATATTTGAGTGTTTAATTGACTATTTGTCATTAAAAACTTGGTTACCAGAACGCACAATCATTAGCCAATCAGGTTACCCGTCTATTTGTCTCCCCTGCTCTGTTAGAGGTAATTAGAACAGCGTTTTAATGAATAATGACAATGACGTGACGACAGTGTTAAAACGAACTGAACACTATGGCCCGTCGCACCTGCTGATGCTAGCATTTCAATCCGCCGTTAATGGCTCCTTTTTTTCCCCCCCACTAAAAGGTTCCCGGACATCGAGGACGTTCCAGAAAGCTCTCCTCTGTCTCTGAACCTGGCACCGACAACCATTTGGACGCCTCAGGGTGTTAAGCTTTGAGAAAACGTTTTAGACACCCTGCTGCCGCAATCGACACACCACCAGCTATCGACCACCGTTCACTGCGGCATTTGGACGATCAGCGTTGTGTTTATGTCTTTGTTTTGCAGAAACGGTAAGTTGTGGGAACCGAATTCCAATGTACATTATGTTTCGTTTTTCTTCTTGGCGACGTGTTACTGAGCTGGTTTTATTCTCGTGTATGCTTTGCCGTTACTCCGCAGTATTTAGCTGCGCTCCCCGTCTTCTCAGCCACTGTTCAAAATGGCTTCTCCCAGTCTTGTCACTCGTGTGCAGTGGCTGTGTGACGCACTCTGCACCAAGCCGCTAGCTGGGCTAGTTTGTTAGCCTCCACCCGAGTAGTCCCGACCCCAACCCTCTCTGGTTTTCCAAAAAGGATTTTCATGGAAGATCAACCACTTGTCATTCATTTTGTGACATTTACCGTAATAGTGGCTTTATCAGGTTATAAGCAGGTGTGATTTGTACGGATTCCATCAGAAAGATCACAGCTGATGGGCCTCATGTTTGTGACCTATTAATGTCAAAAAGCCAGAGGCCCCCCAGCATAAGACAAAAGGCTTATACAAATCCATTATTGTGGCCACAAAGAGGGGTTTAAGCTGAGTGCCAAGAGGCTTGGTTTCCTTTTTTGTTTAAAATCCATGCTGGCTGTCTGGAATGCAAAATTATTATTTTCATATTCAATGCACAAACAATGCTGATTTGATCATTTATTATAAAAAAAATCTGGGTAAATTTCTGAATAGATTGGCTATAAGCTAAACATTTTGTAAGGAGCTCTTTTGTACTAAAAACTATTCAGCATCCAATTTCTCTTCATTTTTTTAATCAATTTTTTTGTTGCTTTTGTTACCTTTTAAAGAGATTGTTTTGTATATTTGTAGTGAATTTCTGAATGGACTCTATCTCTGCATTAGACAAATATCTTATTGCAGTGAATCTGCAGAAAACAGTAAATCCTCAGAACAGGGGGATGTTAACGGCTAATCAGAAGGATTTATCAGTTTTAGCTTGGTTGATCTGTTTTTTAACTCTTGTATCCATTGGATTGAGTGATAGCAGATATGAATGGTCTGTAGTTTTATAATGGAATGTGAAGGTTACTTGTTTTCTAACTGTACCTATATTATGTGTAAAAATGATGTTGCTTGAGGCTGTATCACTGCTTTGACAGCTGTGTCTCGTCAGCCTCTGAGGATTGGGTGAAACTGTTGAAGAGCTGGAATTATTCAGCTCTTCAACTTCTGCTAATGGGATGATAGCACAGTGACATGGATTTTCTTCTGATTCAAATAACTGACAAACTCAACCGTGTTCTCAAAAGATTGTAAAAGGCCAGTGATCTGTAGCTCAGTTTAAAAATACTCCAATAATCCCAAACTGAACTAAAAGCTTCAGCTGTAAAGCTGCTTGAGGCTCTTCAGGACCCTCCACTCAACAGGTATCATTAATTAAAAATGATAAATGACTGAACAATTTTCA